TCAAAAGGATCCTTTCCATTTTAGTGTTTAAATATGATTCTTTTCTCGGGCAAGATCTTCCTAAAAGCCAGATCTCTCCAGGCAGTCATTCAGTGGATTTCTTTTCACAGTGTGATGTTCACTGAGAAAATTTTAAAAAAAGAGAAAATGAATGAGAATCGTTTTGGATTTTGTTAGCTTTAGTAGTATAAGTTGTGACCTGCTAGTTTGGGTGTCACATTACTGAAATTAACCAAAATAGCAAAGGTTTTACAGTTCACCCTGCTTGTACTGATATCAAGTCTATGAGATTTGTTTTGAGACATTTCAGTGTTTTCCATCCTGAAAGAGAAAATAAGGACAGTTGAGGAAAATGTTACTCAGTTAAATGTAGAAATAGAGACTAACTTAAGAAGGATTTCCTTTGTGGTCCAGTGGTTAAGACTTTGCCTCCCACTGCAGGGGGTGTGGGTTTGATCCTTGGTCAGGCAGCTAGGATCCCATATGCCTCGTGGTCAAAAATACAAAACATGGAAGTGAAGCAGGATTGTAGCAGATTCAATAAAGACTTAAAAATGATCCACATAAAAAAATCTCAAAAAAAAAAAAAAAGACAGTGAGAAAGACTAACCTAAGAGCTGTAGTCTTGCTCACCGCCTTTAGCAAACACCCCTCCAGTCTCTGTAGTGGGTACAATAGTGATATTTTGCTTCTGACTAGTTCTCAAGGACAGTTCTGAGTGTCAGATTGTTTGCTAAGAACTTCCATGACTTGTTCTCTTATTCTGCTTATTCCTTCTTCAGTCAGTGAATCAGTTCAGTTGCTCAGCCATGTCCAACTCTTTGCGACCCCATGGACTGCAGCACGCCAGGTTCATCACCAGTTCCCGGAGTTTACTCAAACTCATGTTCATTGAGTTGGTGATGCCATCCAACCGTCTCATCCTCTGTCGTCCCCTTCTCCTCCTGCCTTCTAACTTGACTATTATATCTTCATACGAATTCATCATTGTTTCATTGTTGGATTCACAATTTTTACCCCTGGAAATTTGTATTTTAGTTTTCCCCATAAGATTCACAATATTTCTAGTATTTTCTCACTACTGATACCTCAGTCTTTTTTCAGCAGTCCCATATTTGTTTACAGCTTGTGTACTTTTCCCCACAATAAAAATCACTTAACTTTTGTTCTTAAAATCTATCCTGTTATAGGTGGAACGAAGTTTGTCCATTTGAATTGAATAGTCTGCTGCATTTAATTTCAACTTCCGTGGTAGAGTTGTCTAATTTATAGCCTGATATTCCCTTTCATTATTTTGGCAAACATTTGAGGCATTTGAATTTTTTTCTAGTCTTCCTTTTTTGCACTTCATATGGAAATGTATCTTCTTTATTTACAAATTTTGGACTAGCTCCTATAATGACGGTATATAGAAGAATAGAGCTTGGAATAGTCTTCCTGATTTTTACGACTTTAGACGAGTTGTTTATTTTGGTGGCTCAGTGGTAAACAATCTGTGTGCTAATGCAGGAGACGTGGCTTCATTCCCTGGAGGAGGAAGTGGGGACCCACTCCAGTATTCTTGCTTGGAAAATCCCATGAACAGAGAGAGGAGCCTGGCAATCTATTGTCCATGAGGTCACAAAAGAGTCGGACGTGACTCAGTGACTGAATATCAACAAAGGTATTTGCTTTCATCCGCAGCAGTCGTGCTATAAGGGTCAAATGAGGGAGAGCAAGATTTTCAGTCCTAGTTATATACCATGAATTATGAACCTTTAAAAATACAGTTTTAAAGGTATTTCTTTTCATTTTGAAGTCCATAAGGATAGTTTAATTCAGAATAAAATTTCTTAGAGAACTAGAGTGATACTGATCATTTCACTAGAGACCTTTTCCAGAAGATTGTTTCCCTGTATAGTTTGAGAAAACTGAGAAATGGCATGACTTCTTTGAGGAGATGTTATCCAAATACACTTTCCCACTGGAATCTTAGTCTCACACAGTTGTAACCAAGACTTCCCTGTAGGTTAATATTGAATCAAATTACAGCTAAAAATAAATAAATTTAGAGCTCAGGGGGACATTTAGGCATTTCTAGATAGAAACTGACCACTATGAGTGAAATAAATATGTTCACCTGAAAAAAATATATACTTTATCCCACCAAAAAGTTTAATTTGTCGAGGATAGGGTCTGGCTGTTATTATCCAGGGATCTTAACCATGTAGTCCACTCAGAACCACTGAGATAAGGTGTGTGGAAGCATTTTGAGGTCCAGGTTGTTAGTAGGAGTGTAAGATGTGACACAGGACTGTGTTGTTGTGATATAGTTGGAGTGAATAGAAGTAGCTTTCTGTTAGAAGAATATAAACTTCCTGGAGTACCATGAATTTCTGCTGATGTAATTTTAGTAAGTTGACCCCTTGTTCATTTAGTCTATTAAGATCCAGGTGATATAGTACCTGTCTTACTTTGAGCCTGTTTTCTTGGATTCTTTGGGCTCATTCACATTCAGCTTCTTTGGGCAGAGTAAAACTTTGCATATAATGCTATTCTTCTGAGCTTCGCAACTACCATTTTATAAGAAGTTCAGTGTCTACCCTGTCTTAATTACTGAGTCACATGTGACTCTTCACAACTTCATGGACTGTAGCCTGCCATAGGGTTTCCCCAGGCAAGAATACTGGAGTGGTTGCCATGCCCTCTTCCCGACCCAGGAATAGAACCCATGTCTCTTGCATCTCCTGAGTTTCTAGGTGGATTCTTTAGCAGTGAACCACCTGGGAAGCCACCTGGTGCTTATACATTTATGTAAAAGCATGAGCCAGTGCACTCTGAACGATGAGCAGCATGGTGGTAGTGGGGCCTGCATGCATTTGCTATGTCAAGAATACGTTTTATCAGACTACCTCAGAGTAGATCATATCCCCTTGACATTACATCCTACAATGTGCTATTCTTGGAACCCAAACAGCGTTCTTGGCCTAAGAGTATAAACACAGGAGTCACAAAATGAGTGGGATATTCTGAAGATTTTATATTTTAGTGGAAGAACGTATCTCCCCAGAATGATAATATGAGTACATTTTCCTCTTGGAACTTTCACAGATGAACCACTCATAGCTTACTAAGATAAAAACGAGATATTGAAAGTCTGAAAGGTTTTATGTCTGTTTAAAAAATGAATTTGTAATGAAATACTTTCTCATATAGAGCCATTGGACCCAGATAGCTTCACTGGTGAATTCTTACAAAATTTAAAAGAAAAAATAACACCACTTTCTTCTAGAGGCTAGAAAAAGAGTGAATACATCCCAAGTGTTGGGAAACAGTTCTGAGTGCCCGTTATAGCTGGTTCCAAGTGTTTGAGAGCTCCTGGAATTCTTATGCTTTGCTTGTGAGAGTATAAATTGACTAGAACAACTTTGTGAAATTGTTCAGCTGTCTATTAGATATCAACAGAGATATAACGTGCAACTCAACAATCCCATTTTTCATAAATGGATTTGTAAGTGGACCAAAAGATTTTGAAAGAGTGTTCATTATAGCATTATTCATTCAGTTCAGTTCAGTCACTCAGTTGTGTCCGACTCTTTGTGAGCCATGGACTGCAGCACTCCAGGCCTCCCTGTTCATCACCAACTCCTGGAGTTTACTCAGACTCATATCCATTGAGTCGGTGATGCCATCCAGCCATCTCATCCTCTGTCATCCCCTTCTCCTTCCACCTTCAGTCTTTCCCAGCATCAGGGTCTTTTCAAATGAGTCAGTTCTTCGCATCAGGTGGCCAAAGTTTTGGAGTTTCAGCTTCAACATCAGTCCTTCCAATGAACACCCAGGACTGATCTCCTTTAGGATGGACTGGTTGGATCTCCTTGCAATCCAAGGGACTCTCAAGAGTCATTGATATTTCTCCTGGCAGTGTTGATTCCAGCTTGTGCTTCCTCCAGCCCAGCATTTCTCATGATGTACTCTGCATGTAAGTTAAATAAGCAAGATGACAGTATACAGCCTTGATGTACTCCTTTTCCTACCTGGAACCAGTCTGTTGTTCCATGTCCAGTTCTAACTGTTGCTGCTTGACTTGCATACAGGTTTCTCAAGAGGCAGATCAGGTGCTCTGGTATTCCCATCTCTTTCAGAATTTTCCACAGTTTATTGTGATCCACACAGTCAAAGGCTTTGGCATAATCAGTAAAGCAGAAGTAGGTGTTTTTCTGGAACTCTCTTGCTTTTTCAGTGGCAATTTGATCTCTGGTTCCTCTGCCTTTTCTAAATCCAGCTTGAACGTCTGGAAGTTCATGGTTCACATATTGTTTAAGCCTGGCTTGGAGAATTTTGACCATTATTTTACTAGTGTGTGAGATGAGCGCAATTGTGTGTAGTTTGAGCATTCTTTGGCATTGCCTTTCTTTAGCATTCTTCATAATAGCCTATTTGGAAATAACTGAAGTAATCAATGGAAGATGGATACCCAAATGGTGATGTACTCATATATTGAAGTATTATACAGCAGTAACAAAGAACCAGCTCCTTCCATACTGTATATGCTCTCAGTAGATTTAAGATAAGATGGTAAGTGAAGTGCAGTTCTAACCTCTTGCAACTTTGATCTGCTTGGTTGATTTACATATCTGTGACTGAAAGAAGAAGCTTCTTTTTCCTTCAAGGAAAGGAACAAATAATTCATTTAGTAGTAGTAGCTTATGGAAAATTCATAAAGAAGTATTAATAACCTATTCATCTCTATTTCATTTTTTAAAGTTGACATCTATTTAATAAAATAAATTTGTGATGGGCAAAGGGAACTCTGTCCATGAGATGCTGGTAAAAAAACTTAATTGCAGTGGTATATTCTCACCCTGATGGAATTGTTTTCATTGGATATTTCATAGAGATTACAAAGACCTTAGATTACTCAGTACTTGACTTTTTTATTGATGGTACATGTTGTCACTGACTCAGCAGCTTTCTTTGAGACTGTCATGGTGAACTGACAGGATCCACTTACTTTTTAGGTGCAGGTATTTGGACTGTATTCTGGAGAAGAATTTCATGAGACTTTTGACTGTCCCATTAAAGTAAGTATTCAGTAAGTTTTTAATTTCTCAGAGGGTTTTTCTCAACAATGGCAGTAAGAAAACTAATACTTTGAACACTACCAACCTTGCATGAATTTTGTCAGTAAGCATCCATCAGTCAATGTACCGGATACTACTTGATGCCTCAGAAGGGCACAGCATGTATATTATGTGGCTCTGACCTCAGTGTATCCTCCAGCTTTTGGTGGAGTGGGTGAGATGATAAACACACACTGTGTGATTAAAGACTCAAATCACACAATCTGTGATTAAAGACTCAGAAAGAGGTAAAAACAGTGTTGAGTCTAAAACTGAGAGGAGTTACTTCTCGCTGTTCTTGTTAGTGATGGCTTCCATAGATGGATTGATGTTTGACTGGGCTTTAATAAATGGACAGGACAGAGGGAGAAAGCTGACTTCCCATGCAGAAGAACAGTATAATATAAATGAAGAGGTTAGAAAGTTCAAATTGTGTTCAGGAAGTGGCAAATAGTTGAGTATAGATGGTGCATAAAATACTGACTTGGCAGGAGAGCTGCATGGGCAGATTGAGGTGGCTTTATATTTAGGCTAAGGAATTTGTCTGGTAGATAAGGAGAAATTATGGAATGCCGAAGAGCAAAGAAGTGGCATAAAACTGAGCTAAGCCGAAAGCAAAGTAATACGGCAACTATATCCAGTGTAGATGAGAAGGCTGACAGACTTGAGGCAGAAGACCAGTTTTAGGTAACAGTTACTGTAGTTACAGTGGCTGTTACAGTTGTCAAGGAAGAGGTTGTTCGGTTTTCTCATGTGTTTATTCAAATATTTATTGATCAACAGGTAAAAGAGAGGTGGGATCTGATTTAGGTTTTAGATGGCCATCCCTGCCAGAATGCAGGAGAATGCAAGCAAGAGATTGATTGGGGGCAGGAGACGATTCAGAAGGCTCAGCCATACCCTAGACATGGTGTTACAGGAGCTCAATGAAAAGAAAGATAGTGAGTATTCAGGATGGAGTAGCAGTCATGAATTGGAAAAGCCTGGAGGAAGTAGATTTAATAAGCTTTGGTGATGAAATAATAATAATAAATAATGGAATAATAATAATAAATGGAAGAGCTGAGGGTAAATCCAGGTTCTTGCTTTGGTAATGGTGTATGGGAAGGCTGTCATTTGCAATAAGAGATGGTTTGAGGCAGGATGTTGATAGTTTGGTCTGGAGTCTAGATAACTGTAGAGACATACCATCCGGTGGAAACGTTATTGGAGGTTTTGGGAATGTGAATATAGAGCTCAGGATGGAGATTGGCCCTAAAAATCACAAACTGGGTAGGTAGCCAGCTGTACTTACAGCTGAGTAAGATGAAACCGTTCTGAAAGTTATCATCCAGTTAAAGAGTAAGAAGAAAAAGACTGAGGGTCAGATTCTGGAGCACTAACTTCTTTTGTTTTTAAAGTTTTTTAAATGATTTCTTTTAGTATCACTGTGGTGGTTTATCGTATTTATTTATTTCTTTGGCCCCACAGCATGGGGTTAGTTCCTCAACCAGGGATCAAACCCATGCCTCCTGCATTGGAAGCATGGAGACTTAACCACTGGACCTCCAGAGAAGTCCCCCGTAGCACTAATTTAAAGATTCAGGCAGTGCGAAGAAAAAAACCAATGAGGGATCTTAGAAGAATTAGGAGGATTGGAGGAGAAGCCAAAGGAGAGAGGGTTTCCAGAAGGAAGGAGCAAGCAGCACAGAAAAGGCAGTGTGGAGCTACCACGACGTAGGGACAGAAGTAGGGCACTTTATTTGGTAATTATGAGCTCCCTGCTACCTTAATGCGGAGGGCCTAGGAGGGGGAGGCTCACTATGTATGAAGGAGTAAATTGGAGATAAAGAAGTAGAAATAAGCAAGGTAGACTCTTCTTTCAAGAAATTTTGTGATGTAGAAGGGAGTTCATTTGGTAGATGGAGAAAGAACCAAAGTCCAGGAGATTTCTGCTGGTCATGTTTTGGTTGTTGGTATTAAAAAACTAAAATCATAGGGGGAAAGATCCAAAATAAGCAAAAGGGAATACTTAGTGGGGCGGCTCTGAGGGATGGGATCCACCATGTAGGGATGAGGGGGGAAACCTTCGATGTGAGTCCTCCAGCCTCTGCTGGTGAGACCAAGCCAAGTGTCACTAAGCTGGGCAGTGAAAACTCTGCAGTCAGGGGCAGTGACGTGATGGCCTTGGTTTCTTCTTGGTGAGGAAGAATGAGGGAAAAGGTTATGTGGTTGGGGGCACAGACATGACTGCCCTCGCAGTTGTGATCTAGGACTGTGCATCATAAGAAAGCTAAGAGGACCCTCAAGAAAGATTTTAAGAACGTGTAACTACAGAATGTATAAATGATTCCGTTGGTATCCAGGATGGATCAGACAAGCGTGGAAGGAAAGAAGGGCTAACCTGGAAGTGAGGAATGGTTAGAGAAATGAGGAGTCACATACTAATAAATGCCCTCAAAATGACAGGGTAGGAAATGGAATCTATCCCGTTGGCAGATGGAGATGTATTCATTAATTAATAAGAATAGAAAATGTCTTTAGTTGAAGATTTGTGGAAGTATAGTTGTGTCAGTTTTTTTAATGTGTAAAAATAATTCTGTATGTTGGGCTGGAGAAACAACACAGTGTGTTAGTTGGTGATTACGTGGGTTTGGGGATAAGAAAGTGAGGAGGCAGGGTGTTTGCAGGCTGGCGGCCATGTAAGGGAGCCCCAAAGATGAGCTTATGCTGAGTGCAGCTATCAGCCTCTCAGAAAGCCATTGACAAATGAAATAAATGATGACAAGGTTTGGGGCAGCCTTGGGAGAAACCTTTGTGAGGGGTTGTAGGAGATGGTGGAGAGCAGGTGATAACCAGGGGCCCAGGGACTGACTGACGGTGGAGGTAAAAGGGAAGGACCTGGACTCTGAGCTCCGGAGCTCAGCTTGGTTCTGCAGCGCCGTTGTCCTTCCCACTGATGGAGGCCCGCTCCAGACTGTGAGGCTGCACTGCAGCCTCGTTCCACTTGGGAGGCATCCTGACAAGGAAATAATCTAGATTTCTTCTATGAAATGTCTTCAGTTACAAACGTTTGTGACATCTTGCTGCCTTGATTACCTTCATTGGCTGCCTCTAAAGAGATGTGCCCACTCAGAGGGTCCCATTCAACCAGAAACTACAGCTGTTCACTCTCATCTTTTAGCTTTGACCTGACTTTGCAGAAGAGACCCTCTCACACCAGAGCAAAACTCGCTCTCCCTTGGTGCAAAATATTCCTTGAATGGATTACTGCCTACCTAGATACCAGGTTGATTTTTCGGTCATGTTGCCTGTCATATATAAGGGGCTTTCATTCTGTTCTGCAGCCGTGACTCCTAACCAGTGACGTGTTGGCTCCCTCTTCCTTGCAGATCGTTGCTGTGCACCCGCATTTCGTGAGATCCAGCTGCAAGCAGTTTGTGACGGGAGGGAAGAAGGTAAATGCTGCGTGTTGATGTCACAGGCAGTCTTGGAGGGGTTCTGTTTGCTCTTTAATTTATCTTTAGTTTCAATGTCTGACTCTTCATGTGGAGAAAATTTGAGAAAGCACCGTGTAGTGAAATAGTAAGACCATTGCCTCTTGGGGGAGGTGTGGCCTCAGCGCTTGTCAGTGAGATCCCTTTGGAATAGGTGTGGGCAAAAACAGATGTTACTCAAACTGCTAGCCTGTTGAAATTCCACCCCACCCCTCCAAGTCAACACCCAGCACTGAGCTGAGCTTGCCATGGCTCTTTCTGAGTGACATGTTCCTAGCACATTTCATTATCTTATTTATTTATTATTTTTTATTATTTATTATTCATATCTTATCTATTTAAAGCATGAGAAAGTAAAAGAATCATTTTATACATTGACATGTTTGTGGATATAGCAGATTCTAAAATAAAAGACTCTTTCTGCTTATAGAAGAAGTTAAATTTTTTTTCTATTTTTATTCACCAGTGATTTTTTATAATAAAATGTTCCCACTGTCCTAGAACTCTGAACGTTGTTTCCTATCCAGTTCAGGGCTCAGTGGAGAGAAGGCTGTATGTGTTTATTTCTATAGCAAGGTATAGCTACAGAATAGATACTTCGAAGCTTAGATACCAAATGGTTTTGAATGTTTTGTGGTAGTTATCTGTCCTTTTCACTTGGGCTGTTGCTTCACAGAATGAAAGGACTGCATACTAGTTGTTGGCAGTTTTCAAGCACGGGTTTTAGCTCCATGTAATGGTTAAGTGGCAGGTCCTTTAGATTCCAGCTGCATCTCAAGGCACAACGCCAAGATTGCACCAGCTCTGATTTCTGTTTGAGAACCAGCTCCTTTCATGCCCTCCCCCGGACTTACTGTTATCCTTAGGCTCTAGCAGCACTAACCTCATACAGAAATGTCTATGGGATTGTGCTCAGTTGCTCAGTCATGTCTGACACTTTGTAACCCCATGCACTGTAGTCCACCAGGCTCCTCTGTCCATGGAACTTTCCAGGCAATAAAACTGGAACAGGTTGGGATTTCCAACTCTGGGGAGTCTTCTCAACCCAGGGATCCAATCCATGTCTCTTGTGTCTCCTGAATTGGCAAGTGGATTCTTTACCACTGTGCCACCTGGGAAGCATGTATGGAATTAATCAGTAGGAATTACAGATTGAAGCTAACATTTTTTGTTTTAGATCTGCAGCTGACTTACTGCTAGGAAAAAATAGCTACCTTACTTGTCTTTGTTGATTTCAGGAAAGAGTAGCTTCAAAATTCTTCTTGATAAAGTGTTGATATTTCTTCAGTAAACATTTTTCTAGTTGGAAAATTTAAGTGAGACAGAGAATAAATTCACATAGCTATAATTTAAACCCATACGTTTTTATTTAAAACTCATTAGAGATGAAAAATGCCAAGTCACTAGGTTTTTTGTATGTTTTTTAAGTGGCCTAAACCAACACACTTTCATTATCTCACAGTCAGAAATTTAAGAGTGGCTTTCCTGTACTGTCTGTTTTAGGGCCTGTCATGAGATTTCAGTCCAGATTTTGGCCAGGATTGCACTCATCTGAAGGCTTGACTGGGGTTGGAGATTCTGCTTCTAAACTGTCTGCTGCCTTCTTAATAGCAATCCCTCATAAAATGTTGATAACTTAAAATATTGATAAATCATTTTGGTTTAAGTATTTTCCAAGTGAGGCTGCAGTTTTGAGTTCTAGCTTTCCAATTCCAGAAGTTAGAGACTTTAGAGTTGTCCATATTTTTTCAAGGTATTGGTATGAAAGACCATATTAGAGATAATATGAATAATGTCCACATGGACTCAAACTTTTATGGTGGGTTTCTGTATAGATTTGTGTTCTTAATAATCACCTTGTTGGTATGGTTTAATAATTGCTTTTATACTGTGAAGGGTACCTATCATCTGATCTAATTTGCCAGAGTAGTTTTTGCTACATGAATGTCTTGTCAACTTGCAAGATGCCTAAGTTAACTGGGTCAATAACGTGTTCATCCTTCTACATAGCATTTGACATCTCTAGAAAGGACCAAGTGAATGTAACTCTTTGGGCCGAAACGTCTAGAGTAGTTGTAACTCTTTGGGCCAAAACTTGTTGAGCAATTGTATGGACAACGAAGTAGTCCAGAATCCAAGTGCAGGCAAGGTCACATGGGAAAAACTTGGGATTGATACCAAGATTACATTGTGATAAATTCTAAAATAAGTAGAATTCACTGAATGCTCAACAGGCAAGAAAATCAAAGATTTGGTTCATCTCTTTGGTTATCACTCTCTGCTTGACAGGTTTTTCTGTGTTCAGTGTTCTAAGAGGGAACATTCTCTTTTCTCCTATTTTCCTATTCACATCTCCAAAAATGCATGTGTAGACATTTCTTCCCAAGCACAAAAGATGCTTAATCATGTACATATAAAATAAAAACAGTTCAAGCTATCTGGTGACAAACTTGATACTGTTGAGTTAGAATTTCTGGTTTAAAATAGTTTAAAAGAAACACACACCAAAGGGTTAGTATGTTGTATAAAGGACTTAGGTTATTGAGCTTGATGAAAGTATATATGTGATATTCTGAAGTGAAGAATCATAGGATTTCACATGTCAATGTAAGTGATATTGTCATGTCTTTTTATTTTAATAGCTTTATTGATATATAATTTGCATGTCATAAAGTTCACCAGTTTAAAGAGTGCAATTCAATAACTTTCCTGGCAGTCCAGTGGCTAAGACTCTGCGCTTCCACTACAGGGGCTACAGGTTCCATCCCCGGTTGGGGAACTAAGATCCTATATGCTGTGTGGCACAGCCAAAAAATAAAAAATGTACAACTCATTGGTTTTAATATGTATGCAGAATTGTGCAACCATCACCATAATCCAATTTTAGAGCATTTTATCATCCCAGTAATGAAACCTTGTCCCCATTAACAGTTGCTCCCTAACCCCTTTTCCCTGCTTCCTATCCCCAAGGAACTGCTAGTCTATTTCAATTCTTTATAAATTTGCCTGTTCTGGATATTTCATGTAAATTCTGGATGGCTTCCCTGGAGGCTTATGTGGTAAAGAGTCTTCCTGCAATGCAGGAGACCTGGGTTTGATCCCTGGATTGGGAAGATCCCCTGGAGAAGGAAATAGTAACCCACTCCAGTATTCTTGCCTGGGGAATTCCATGGACAGAAGAGCCTGGCAGGCTATAGTGCATGGGGTCACAAATTCTGCATATTTCATGTAAATTCTGGATATTTCATGTAAATTCTGAATATTTCATGAAAATGGAATCATGAGTACATGCCCTTGTGTCTCATTTCTTTCATTAATTTTCTAGATACATCCATGTTGTAGCCTGTATCAGTATTTCATTCTTTTTTATGGCCAAATTATCCTTCATCGTATGGGTATATCATATTTTATTTAGCTGTTTATCAGTTGATGGACATTTGGGTTGTTTCTGTGTTTTGACTGTTGCACGTAATGGTACTGTGAACATTCATGTACAACTCTTTTACGGGGCCATGTATTTTAATGCCTCTTGGGTGTAGGATTGTTGGATCATCTAGTAACTCAGTGTAGAACACTGAAGAACTGTCCAGTCATTTTCCAAAGTGATTGCACCATTTACATTCTCACTAGCAGTATGTAAGGGTTTCACTTTCTCCACATTCTCACCCTCACTCATTTGTAGCTGTCTTTTTGATTATAGGCATCTGGTGTGTGGAAGGTGATATCTCCTTGTTTTGATTTACATTTCCCTAATGACTAAGGTTGTTGAGCATCTTTAGTGCTTGTTGGCCATTTGTCTATCTTCTTTGGAGAAATGCCTATTCAGATTCTTTGTCCATTTTTCCATTGGGCTATTTGTCTTTTTTCTTTTTTTTTTTTTGCACAATTGTAAAATTATTTTTTTATATATTCTGGATTCACATCTCTTGCCAGTATGTTATTTGTAAATATTTGCAAATATTTTCTCCCAGTCTTTGAGTTGTCTTTTCACTTTATTGCTGGTGTCATTTGAGGTACAGAAGTTTTTAATTTTGCTGAAGTGCCATTTATCTGTTTTTGTGTGGAATTTTTGTTTTCTGTGTGTGTGTGTATGTGTTTTGATGCTTGTGCTTTTGGTATTGTATCTATGAAATCATTTCCAAATCTAAGGTCATTAAGATTTATGCTTGTGTTTTCTTCAAAGAGTTTTATAGTGTTGACTTTTAAATTTAGCTCTGGAATCTACCTTGAGTTAATTTTTGTGTATGGTGTAAGGTAGGGGTCTCAATTCATTCTTTTGCATATGGATATCCAGTTGTCCCAGCCCTCTTTGTTGCAAAGACTGTTCCTTTGCCATTGTCTTGGGCCCTTTGTCAAAAATCAGTTAGCCATAAATGTTCGAGTTTCAGTTCTGTTGATTTGTGTATCTGTCCTTGTGCCAGTACCATTTTTAGTTTTTAGAACCACTGATTACTTATGGGATGACAAACAAATTAACTCCTTTTAAAACATTTTGATTTTGAGTTCTTTACCTTTAAAAAGCCATTTTTATACCATCATTCAAAATTCTGCAAATAACAAATGCTGGAGAGGCTGTGGGAAAAAGTTGAACCCTCCTACCCTAATGGTGACAATGCAAATTGGGGCAGCCACTATGGAGAATAATATGTCTGTTCCTTAAAAAACAAAATAGAGTTACCATATGATCCGGGGATCACACTCCTGGGCATCTATCTGGAGAGAACTGTAATTTGAAAAGATATATGTACCCCAGTGTCCATTGCAGCACTATTTATTATACAGTAGTCAAGATATGGAAGCAATCTAAATGTCCATCATCAGGTGAATGGATAAAGAAGATGTGGTGTACACACACACACACACACACACAGAGGAATATTATTCAGCCATAAAAATAATGAAATAATGCATTTGTAGCAGCAAGGATCGACCAGAGATTATCATACTAAGTGAAGTAAGCC